CCCGCAGCGCGGGCAAAGCTGATCAATGACTACTCCCTTGGGTGCTGCAACCTCGGCCCGACGAACCCCGTGGCCACGAGGCCCCAGCCGCTATAGTGACAAGCAGCTCCGACAACCGACTACCGCGATCCAAACCCAACAGCTGGGCGTGAAGGCGGCGAAGCGAGGTGCAATCAACATCCTCCTCCATGCCTCCTCCACAAAAATGCTGAGCCGCGTCACGCCATAGTTTCCGAGATATGGAACACTGAATATCACGTACCAGTTCGCCTGGATCGTCCACATCTGGCCAGCCTTCCCAAACATGATCAGGAAAATGCCATTCAACTGTCTCACCCCCTGCAGACTCTGCTGGCCTGGTCCAATCCGTGGCGGAAACAGGATCCCACCCAAGACTCAAGAGAATATTGATAATGGCTGAAACTGGTCCTCGTATGTGCCGAGGTCGTTGTCCTGGCGGGATGCCTCTGAACTTCTCGACCAGTGCGGACCAGACACGAGAAACCCCTGGACGAATATCGGGGACTGACTGCCAAACTTTAAACCAAGTGCGAAGACATTCTTCAGGCATCTTCAGCGCTGGATCCACGGGCGCCTTGATCGCAAGCAACGTCGCGAGGCAGCGCCCTCGGGGGGGTGCAGAGATGGCTGCGCCCAAGCGCTGCCTGTACTGCTGCATGTGCACCCCGAAGACCCCGTGGATCTGGAAGCCGTACGCCCCTGCCGCCTGAGCTGTCTCCAGCGCTCGGCCTTGTGGTCCACGATGTCTAGCGGCTGGTAGAGAATCCTCCCCTCGACCTCCAGCTCGTGACGAAATGCAGGTTCCGGGCGTATGTTGCGATGAAGCTTGCCAATGGCTGCTTCTGTCTCCATCCAAGATCCGAACTCCTTCAAAGCATGAGTGACTGCCCGTCTCTGAGCTCTGGCCGAGATCTTACAGGACAGGTCCGCATACAACTGGAGCTGTTGCTGATCGATCCCTGTCTCGTCCAAGACGTGCCTGAAAACTTGCTGCCACTTCCGCCAACTAGGTTCCTTCTTGCGAAGTAACGTGTGTGCTTTCTCTGGGCGATCGTCCACGTGCCTGCCGAGGGATTCCAACGTGCGTTGACGTTGACGATGCCCGTTGCCTCGTTTATAATGCCGAGCTAGACTGTCCAGCAAGGTATGCAGCCGAGTCCACCAGCACGAGAGAACATCACGTTCAGGCGTAAGCCGTTGCCTCTCCTGCTGATGGACCATAGACCGCGGTGCGTGCGCATGGTGAGCTCAGCTGCGCTCACCCAGGACGCGTACAAGGACGAGATGGCCTGCGCGGCTGCAGGTGGATTGAGCCAAGAAACCACGGAGCAGAGAAACGGGGGGGGAAGGGGGACTATCACCCGCTGGGGTGAAACCTACCTGCCTCTTGCTCTCTAACCACGTGGCCTCAGGGATATAAGACTCGGCTTCGCAATTCGGGGGGGGGGGGAGGAGGCGGAGGAGAAGGGGTGGATGAACCGTCGGGGTCTGAAATATTGCTGCACTTAGACGCTGGGGGGGCTTGGGGCATAAGCAAGTCGTGACCTTGCGGAGGCTGGGCAATAGGGGGCTCTTGCTGAACTTGCCCAACTCACCAGAGACACTATTATAACCTCGAGGCCCACCAGACTTAGTGGGAAGCCCTCCACCTACATCGTTATGCACAGCTGGTTTAAACTCAGACTCGTGGGCCCACGGATCCCCCTCGGAAACATAACCTACTTCATCGGGGTCCTCTTCGAGACCCTCAGGGTAGTCAAAACTGGCCTCGCTCCGAGCTTCGCCGGGGGCGGAATGCTCCTCAGAGCCGAGGGGCTTCAAGAGATCACTGAACAAACGCATCGAAATGTTTTTTTCCTCGCGGAGCTGCGCTGGCGACTGCGTTCCTCGTTCTCTGCCTTCGCTCGACTGCTCTTCGAGCCTGGCGTCGGGGCAACGCGAGGGCGCACAGCCTGCGGCAGCTTGCGGGGCATGTCTAAATATCGTGCCTGGAGCTGCTGCCCCGGTCGACGTAAGTGCACCAGGAGGCCCACGTGGGATTTCCATGGCACGGCAACGACAGGGGTGACTGCAGCAACATATGAATGAGCTGTCTCCGAAACGATGAGGTAGTCGATGTGCGAGCCCGCTCTGGAGCCCTGTTTGGAGGTGAACTCGATGTCTGCCCGCAGTAGCCGAGGGTGCCCGAGCAGCCGCTTCATGAACTGCGACTTCTCCATGGCGTCGGCACCGATGTTGAAATCGCCGATGACGATCCAGGGTATGCTCAGGGTATTCAGCAGGGGCCCCAGCTTCTGGAACCTGGCCACGTTGGGCCCTCGGAAGCCGTACGACGGGTGCCCGTAGAAGGTGATGATGGCCACGCTACAGCCGTTCATGTGCACAACGACCGCCTGAAATCCGTCAAGATGTTGATGTCCAGCAGCGCGTAGAGGTCTCGCTCCCGCCTGGGAGAGCAAGGAGTGCATCTGCAAGTGGCCATTGCAAAGGATCCACTCGCCCCCCTCGTTGGACCTCGACTGCTGCTGCTTCGAAACTCGCTTCTCTCTACCCCTTGCGGGGTTCGCTAAAAGTTTGAGGCCCGCTCTCCGAGCCTTCTTATCCCATGCTGAAGCGTCGGGCTCTGAAACGTGAGTCTCGACAACTCCCACAACATCGAATTTCCCGCTGGACAGGGACCTTCAAGATTTGTCGCCAATACAGGTAATATTGCCGAATAGAAAAGTGGACAAGTCCCCCTGCTTGTCCCCCTGCTGCGTGGACGGCCCCTCAGAACAGACTTCACCCGTGCCCGTCGCGAGTGGCGCCTGCTCGCCGTCGTTTGTGGTAGCAGAACCTAGTCAACAGCTCCGACCGCTGCCCTTGCCCACGACATCGGCGTCGACCGAACCGCCGCCCTTGCCCTTGCCGACCGACTTAGCAGCGTTCGCAGCCTGCTCCTCCAATACCTTGCGCTGGGCCTGCAGCTTGGCGGCCGAGATCTTCTCCGCCGTGCGCTGCAGCTCCTCGTCATCCTCGCTGCCGACGGGCACGTTGGTCGCCGCTGCTGCTGCTGCCGCCGTCGTGGCAGTAGCGCCGCCGCCAGCGTCGCCCCGAGATGTCTCAGCCGAAGATACGTCTGTCCGCGTGCCATCGCCGCCATCGGCTGCGTCGCAGCCCTCGGTCCTGCGCTTCTTCTTCAAGCGCTCGGCGATGGCGTGCTTGACCGACTTCGCCTTCTCGAACATGGCAGATACCTCGGCCTCCTTGCCCGTCAGATGGTTCTGGAGTTGCTCGAGGTCAGTTTTGACCTTCTTCAGCTCGGCTCTTTCATTCTCTTCGCAATCCAGGTCGTCGAGGCCGTCGAACAGATCACGATCCCAGGTCAGAGAGAACTTGAGCTTCTGCTCCTTGTCGTCGTCGCCGTTCGACATGCTGACCTTGCCTACGCCCTCGGCGTGGGCCATGGCGGCCGTGGCCGCCTTCTTGGCACGCTGCGCCTGGGCGAGCACAAGGGTTGTGGCCTTCGCGCGCTGCACCGCCGCGTCCAGGTTGGCCTGGAGCCGCACGACGTTGCTGGCCGCCTGGGTGTGCTTGTGATCCGCGTCCTTCCACGCCCCGACAGCTCGTCGAAACGCCTCCGCTGGGCCGTCGGCCGTGGCGGCGGAGGCGGGCACCAGCTTGGACACCTCGCCCTGCAGGACCTTCTTCAGATCCGCATTGTCCGTGTACTTGACAGCAAGCTGCAACAAGGAGGGGACGTCCAGCGAGGACGCGGGAACCGAGCCAATCTCCTTGTCCTTGTCCTTGCCCTTGCCGCTCTTGGACTGCTTGCCACCGCCTGCGCTGGCAGGGTCGACGGCTGCAGGCGCAGGAGGACCAGGGCGAGGTTTGTACAGCTTAACCTGTCGCTTGCATCCCAAACAGAAGCGGTCCAGCGAAAGCAATACATCGTTGTATGCACATCGACTGCACGCTGCGCAGCGAGACCAAGAGCGGGACATGATGCACTGAAACCTTCTGTTTTGGTCGTCACCGGCGGCTCTCCCTGGGAGAGCGAGGGTGAAGTGCCTCAAGCACCACGTGCAGGCACAGAAGGTGGGCTCGCCAAGATGGACCTGAGCCACAATTGCTTGAGAGGAGGAGGAGGAGGAGGAGGAGGAGGAGGGGAGGAGGAGGAGGAGGAAGGGGAAGGAGGAGGAGGAGGAGGAGGAGGAGGAGGAGGAGGAGGAGGGAAAGGATGAGGAGGAGAGAGTGAAGATGAAGAGAAGGATGACGAGGGGGAGGAGCAGGAGGAGGAGGAGGAGCAGGAGGAGGAGGAGGAGGAGGAGGAGGATAACGATGAAGAGGAGGAGGATGCGGAGGAGGAGGGGGATACGGAGGAGGAGGGGGAGGAGGAGGAGGAGGAGGAGGAGGAGGATGCGGAGGAATGGGAAGATGATGATGATGATGATGATGACGATGATGATTTTGATGATGAGGAGGCGGATGAGGCGGAGGAGTAGGAGGAGTAGGAGTAGGATGAGTACGAGGAATAGGACGATTCATAACAATACGCATACGACGCTTCATAGGAACACCAGTATTAATACTACGACTAACAGTGAAACTGAGCTTACCAACCATCGTACTACTACCAATACAACCAGTATTGATCACATAATTCGTAATACTACGACTAGTCGTAATGCTTCTAATAGTACCATCATAGTGATAATCCTACGCATAATATTTCGACAACCAGTAACACTAGCCATACGACTAATGCAAGTCGTCATACTAACGAATTCAAGTACAGACAGGGGAAGGAGTGGGATGGGGGATGGCGGTGATGATGATGAGGGAGGAGGGGGAGGATGGTGGGGAGGAGGAGGAAGAGGATGAGGAGGAGGAACAGGAACCGGAGCAGGAGCAGGAGCAGGAATGGGAGCAGGACTGGGCCGGAGGCGCAGGAGGAGGAGGAGGAGGAGGAGGAGGGCGAGCGACGCCGACCCCCCCAGCCGACCCGCACAACAAGTACGGCATGGCGGAGTGGGTGTGCGCCGCTCGGCCGCCGCGTGGCTGCTGTGTAGTCCGCCTCGTGGTCGTCGTCGCCGTCGTCGTCGTCGTCGTCGTCGTCGTCGTCGTCGTGGTCGTCGTCGTCGTCGTCGTGGTCGTCGTCGTCGTCGTCGCCGTCGTCGCCCTCGTGGTCCTTGTCGCCCTCGTCGTCCTCGTTTTCGTTTTCGTCCATGTCCCCCCCTGCCTCCACAGGAGGGGTGGGGGGGGGGGTGGGGGGGGGGCAGGGGGAGGATCGGGGGCCCAAACGCGGTGCGGTGATCACACCGTGTGTTGAGTCCATGAAGGTTCGGGGTGGCCCCGCGGTTTGGGAGTTGGGTCGTTCTCCGAGGACGTCTTGGGCAGCTGAGGCCTCCAGGGTCCGAAGACCGTCTGGTGACGGACCGTGCAGTGACGTGTTCGCGGATGTCGACGTCACCGCACGGTCTGTCACTGCATCGTATGGGGGGACGACTGGGAAAAGAAGGAGAAGGACGAGCATGAAGAGAAGGAGGTGGAGGAAGGATGGACTCAGCTCGCAGCTTTCTGGTTGGCCACTGCCCAATCGGGTGGGCGGGAGGTGGGGTGGGGCTACTGCCGAGGCATGTGCACTACGACATCACCCGCGAGCCCACGTTCCCCCGCAAGCCCGACCTGTCAAAGGGTGAGTTGGCCGCTGGCGCCACGGTGACTTGAGGGGCGGGTCGAGGAGGAGGACGAGGAGGAATAACAGTGACGATGCTGACAGGTGTGATTGTAAAGATGAGATGAAGAGGACGACGACCACGATGATGATGATGATGCTGATGATGCTGATGATGATGCTGATTCTGGTGAGGATGCTGATGATGCTGATGCTGATGATGGCGATGATGAGAATGCTGATGATGATGCTGATACTGATGATGAAGAAGATGTTGATGCTATTGATGCTGATGATGATGCTGATGCTGATGCTGACGATGATGATGCTGATGATGCTGACGATGACGATGATGATGATGATGCGGATGCTGATGATAATGACGATGCTGATGGTGCTGATGATGATCATGATGCTGCTGATGATGATGCTGCTGCTGATGCTGATGCTGCTGCTGATGATGCTTATGATGACGTTGATAATGCTGATGATGCTGATGATGCGGATGCTGATGCTGATTTTGTTGATGATGCTGATGAAGACAAATATGATGTTTCGTTTGCTGTGGTTGTTGTGGTTGTTGTTGATGATGATGGCGATGATGAGTATGACCATACTGATGTTGATGCTGATGCTGATGCTGATGCTGCTGCTGCTGATACTGATAATAATGCTCGTGAGGTTGATGATGCTGCTGCTGCTAATGCTGCTCTCAACTACTAGGGTGATGATATTGTGATTGTGAGGATGATGCGGATGTTGGTATCGATACTGATGTTGACAGGGCGAGGAGGATGAGGAGAAGAAGGACGGCCATAACAAACTCAAGATGTTCGGTAGGTATGCGTCGTGTCGACCAGCGGCGATCCCGCCGCTGGCGTTCAACGTTGAACACCGCCGGCGACTCAGAATCGGTCGAAGTTGAACGATTTTACGTTTCGGAAACGGCCGATCATTCAAGGTTGAACGATCCAGCGCGGTGTCAGAAACCAGTGCCAGGGTTGACACGACACGAACCTGCCGTACCAACGATGCTGCAGTACACCCGCGCGTCCCGAGGTGCCCTCAGCATTCTCGATCACTGCGCGAAGAGCACCCCGCTGAAAGACGAACGGTCCACGGCCCGCAAACTCGGGCGGGAGCGCTGCCTGCGAGAGACCGCCCTCTGTTTTTTTTAACCTCATCCTCCGAGCTTTCTGGTCGTGCCAAGGTATAAGATCGAGTTCGCTTCGGCCAGGGTACCTTTGTGTTCTTCGTGCGTGTTTGTTGGATGTTTTTGTGCATCCTGGGGGGCACTCTTGGATGTTCTGTCTATTCTGGCTGTCGGAGGGTCTCATGCTCTTGCGGGATGTTCTTCTTGCCTGGGTCCGACTGTACGGAGTGCGGCAAGGTGAGGTTTCAAAGTTGAAGGAAGTGCTCGGCGGTAGCCCCGCTTTGAAAAGGACTCGTCCTCCGTCCGTATAGCTGTTGCGGAAGTATTCTTTTACGGCCGTCTGATCTAACGACAACTCCGGGCAGAGCGATTTTTGAAAAACAGCCGCCCTCCATCCGTGCAACTCTTACAGAGCCTCACACGCGTGGCAATCATTTTGAGGGAGTCTCAGGTTGGAGCCCTCTTCTGAGAACGCCCCCGCCTCCCTCCAAGTAGCTGTTCCATTGGTAAAGGCGAATGTGTTCGACCAGCCTCAGTCCTCAAAGCCATTGCATTCTTGCACGAATGTGCGCGGCGCTACTGGGAGAGCCACATTTGGATAAGGACCAGGCCTCCATCCCAGTACCTGTTGGACGTTCCAGTTTCGAGATCGGAAGTTATGAGGGGGTCTCAGGTGACCCAGGCTCGCCTATGGACACGTCTGGCAATGCGATGGTTTCCTGGTTTCGAATATCAATAATTAGGCCTTGCGGCCGCTGCCGACGACCCTGAAGGCGGGACCTCCTCCAGGACCCCCGCTGGCGGCTCCCCCCACGGGACCTGCCGGGACCACCCTCCACATGGCGGGACTTCCCCGGGACCCCCCCGCCTTCAAGCCCCTAAGCGTTGGGCGCGCGGGCCACTTGCTGCCCGGCGCCCATGCGGACGCCGGTCCGAATCGTTGGGCTCGCGTTTTGTCAGTGTTCTTTTTATCCGCAAGGGCTTCGCCCCATGCCGCCGGCCCCCTGTCTCGGATAATGGGAGATGCAACAGCTAAATCATGAGGTCTGGGCGCCGCCGTGAAGCAATGTCGGGACCTGTCTGTTTTTGGACCCTGACCCCCCGGATCTGCGTGAGGGGTGCCGCCGAATTTCAGAAATGTGGCAAGTCCCTTGTGTTTTTTGCACCCTGACCCTATGGATCTCAGTGAGGGGTGCCGCCGAATTCCAGAAATGTAGCAAATCCCTTGTGTTTTTGGACCCTGACCCTGCCGATCTGCATGAGGGGTGCCACCGAGTTTCAGAAATGTGGCAAATCACCAGTGTTTTTGGACCCTGACCCTGCCGATCTTCGTGAGGGGTGCCACCGAATTTCAGAAATGTGGCAAATCTCTTGTGTTTTTGGATCCTAACCCCGCCGATCTGCGTGAGGGGTGCCGCCGAATTTCAGAAATGTGGCAAGTCCATTGTGTTTTTGGACCCTGGCCCCGCCGATCTGCGTTAGGGGTGCGACCGAATTTTAGAAATGTGGCAAATCCGTTGTGTTTTCGGACCCTGGCCCTGCCGATCTGTATGAGGGGTGTCACCGAATTTCAGAAATGTGGCAAATCCCTTGTGTTTTTGGACCCTGACCCTGCGGATCTGCGTGAGGGGTGCCGCCGAATTTCAGAAATGTGGCAAATCTCTTGTGTTTTTGGACCCTGACCCTGCCGATCTGAGTGAGGGGTGCTGCCGAATTTCAGAAATGTGGCAAATCACCGGTGTTTTTGGACCCTGACTCCGCCGATCTGCGTGAGGGTGTTAATTTTTACCCACCCCAGCAATTCAGACAACACGCTCAGGGCGTGGTAAAAATGTCCGTTTTTGTCCCCCCCTCTCTCGCGCGGTCCATCAACAAGGAACAGTAAGCAGCGAGAAGGAGAACTCTAACAGTGGAAACTGGAAGCTGCAAAGAAGCAGAGCTGTAACAGTGGAAACTGGAAGCTGCAACTGGTACAGGAAACTGCGAAGCTTCGGCCTACAGCCTGGTGGCCCCACAAGGGGGCCAGCGGATTTTTTTTTGTTTCTCTCTCTCTCTCTCTTTCCGTCTCTGTCTCTGTCTCTATCTGTCTCTCCCTGTCTCTCTCTTACTGTCTGCCTCTTTATTTGTTTCTCTCTATCTCTTCCTGGCGCTCTCTCTCTCTCTCACACATTAACTGTCCCTCTCTCTCTGTGTTTCTGTGTTTCTGTCTCTCTCACTCTCTCTCTCTCTATCTCTCCCGCTCTGTCCGTCTCTCCCTCTCGCTTCCTCCCTTCCCTCTCACGCGCGCTCTCCCTGTCTCTGTTTCTCTCTGTCCCTCTTGCCGTCTCTGTCTGTCTGTCTGTCTGTCTGTCTACCTGCCTGCCTGCCTGCCTGTCTGTCTGTCTGTCTGTCTGTCCGTCTCTTTCTCTCTCTCACTCTCTCTCTCTCTCTTTCTCTCCCTCTCCCGCTTGCGATCTATATGTATATATACACTTCTACGTGTATGTATACATACACATATATATATATATGTATATAGCAGTCTCAGTCTGTGCTGTGTGTATATGTTGATCCCTCTAACTCCCTCCCTCTGTTTCTTTTTCTCCATCACCTCCGCGGCATGATGATATGTCGGACTACAGAGATGATACGTGCGGGAGACAGCGGAAGGGTCGGGTGGGCAGGTCACGCGTACGGACGTCTGGCACGACCCGAAGGAAGCGGTGCTAGTGTCTTCTCATCGCACTCGACACTTCCGGGTATACCCAATTGCGCAATCGCCACCGCGCTCTTGGAGGGGGGGGCGTTGGGGGCAAGGGGGGCGACACCGTCCCGTCGCAAGTTGTCTCTAGAAGGCTTGAACACTCGAGACTTGGATTACCCATCGGTCGTTGAAAGCAGGGATCTGCTGGATTCCCAGATCACAATCCTTGGCATCGCTCGGACGTGTGCATTGTCCTTCGGCGAGGACCATCGAGGAGCATCCTTGATCATTTCGCGAAAAAACCACGCACTAAACCGAAAAAAACAAAGGAAATGGACGTCCGAGCGATTGCCAGAATCTGCTTCGGGCGCCTTCCTGCTTCGATCACCGAGCGTGTTCCCCCCTTCCCTCATCGCTAGGGGGCGGGCGGAAGTCCAATCTGCTTCCAACCCCTTCCTACTTCATGATTCAAGGGCGCCCTCGAGGGTGCGAAGTTGTTCGCGCTTCGCGCTTCGCGGTTCGGCTCCGATTCCTCCTCATCCTCCTCTTCTCCCTTGGGAGATGGCGCGAGAGCGTCAAGTTATTCGCACTGCGCGCTTCGCGCAGCGCGAAGCGCGAAGTTGAGAGCCCTTGATGTTTCTACCCCTTTCTTCCGACCGAGAAGCAGGGCACGTGGCGGGTCTTGTGTATGGGGAGAAGCCAGGGGAACACTGAGGGGCCAAACGCACAGGCAGCCCCGGATCGTGGGGCCAGTTTTGGGGCAGCCTTGGGCCGCAGCGATGCCTCCTGGGGAGACCCCCGGGGCTGCCCTTTCGACAGGCCTTCCTCCACTTCTGCGGCGCCGTCCAGTGTAGCCCGCATGCCGTCCAGGGGCATGTTGGAGGCAATCCCGTGATCCCAGAGGGATGCTGGAGGCCTTGAGGGTCTCTGAGGGACCTCCTGGGGCCTCCCGGGGGCTCTTCGGGCTAACTTCGGCCCTGTTCCTTTTGGCGCCATCTTATATGCAATCTTCCCAGCCCGTGATTAAGATCTGTGGCCCTCTTGGGAAGCATCTTGGGCCATACGAGGCTATCCTGGAGCCATCTGAGAATCCGCAGCGGAGGGGGAGTGCAAGGGCAGCCGCCAGTGCTGACGGAATGCGCGAGCCCGTGGCCTGTCTGTGAGCCCACCACACACTCTGTTGGTCGACCTGTCGCCTAGGTTTCCTTCTTCCACAAACAGCACTGCAACTGGCCCAACACTGTGCAAGCCGTCCAGCCGACGGAAGGGGGCCCGCCGGCTTTCTGATTCGAGCAGCGCGCCGCGCATTCCGATTAATTACCTCGCTCGAAGGAGCCCCAAAAGAACGTGGGTAGTGTGAAGGGTTGAGGTGGGATGGATGTTTGGTGGATGCGGGATGGCTGTTTGGGGATCCCACTCGTTTCTGAATCGAATTTCGAGCTGCCCTTGGCACGTTCCTCCATGATGCCAGCGCAGCAATCTGTGTAGTAGCGACGCCTCGAGCACCGCCCAGGATGGGCGTAACATGTGACGCCTCTCGTCTCTATTCCTTGAGGGGCTCTCATGGGGCCTGTCTACTGGTCCGCCTTGGGTCTTGGGCTGTCTTGGGCTCCCGTGGGGCCGTCTTGGGGCCCTCTTGGGCCCTCTTGGGGCTCTCTTGGGCCGTCTTGGCGCCGTCTTGGGCACCCCTCGGCCGTCTGGGGAGTCTTCTTCTTCTTTGGGCCCTCTTTGTCTTTCCTGGGCACCTCTTGGGCCGTCGTGGGATCGTGAGCGCTCTTGTCTTCCTGGATGGCCCCTTGGACTGGTGTCTGGGGCCCCAGGGGTGTCCAAGAGGCGACTCGGGAACCTCGGGGCGCCTCTGGGGTGAAGGGGCATCACTCCCAGACGCACGTGGTTGTCTTCAGATGGCCCACCACGCTCCCAAGGCGCTCCACGAAGGTTCCCAGACGGCCTACAGCGACCCCGCTTCAAGAAGGTTTCAGGGGCTCTCCCCCAGGGCCGCCCTGGGCACCCAAGAGGCCGCAAATTGGCCCCAAGGCACTTCAGGATAGCCCCAAAGAGGCATCGAGTCGCCCCCGAGTCGCCAGAACATCACTCCCAGGCGCTTGTGGTCGCCTCCAGATAGCCCGCCGCGTCCCCGAAGCGCTCTGCGGAGGCTTCCAGACGGCCCAGACCGCCCCCCAGACGCTCCAAGAGGGTTCCCAGACGGCCCCCAGGAGAGCCCCCAGACGCAAAAAACCGTTGGTTCTCCATGGGTTTATGATGTTTTTAGGAGCTGCCACCTTGTCAACTCAGGAGGTAGACAGCAACTCACGAATAATCAACGAAAGCTTAAGACCGATCCGAGCCTCCGGGTCGTAAAAGAGGGCTCACGACGTCGTCGTCGTCGTCGTCGTCGTCGTCGTCGTCGTCGTCGTCATCGTCGTCGTCGCCGTGGGCCGCGGGGGTTCCGCAACACTCGCGACGGCGTCGGCGTCGGCGTCGGCGTCGGCGTCGGCGTCGGCGTTGGCGTCGGCGTCGGCGTCGGCGTCGTCGTCAGCGTCGGCGTCGGCGTCGTCGTCGTCGTTGGCGTCGTCGTCGTCGTCGTCGTCGTCGTCGTCGTCGTCGCCGTGGGCCGCGGGGGTTCCGCAACACTCGCGGCGACGGCGTCGGCGTCGGCGTCGTCGTCGTCGTCGTCGCCGTCGTGGGCCGCGGGGGTTCCGCAACACTCGCCAGGAAGAAATGGGGTTCTTCGGGACAAGAGTCCTCAGGTTTTTGACGTTTTCGGCTTCCCGGAGCCCTCCCAAAGGGTCGAAATCCGAAAGACCTCGAACCTCGGCGTTCGAGCCTCGTCCCCCCCACCTCGAGGCTTCTGATCGAGAGAGGGGGATGAGGAGGAGGAGATGGGGGAGGGGAGGAGGAACAGGGGCGGGCGGAGGACGGGCAAGATGAGGAGAAGGAGGGACAGGCAGAATAACCCAGGGGAAGGGGAGTAGAAGAAGGGAGGAGGCGAGAGGAGGATGAGCAGAGAGTAGGAGGGAGGGAAAGGAAGGAGGCTTCCACGAGGGCCCACATAGGCCCCCCTCAGGCCCCACAAAAGGCTTCCACAACGCCTCCGAGAAACCGTCGAGAGACCCCCACGAGACATCCAGCATGTCAGATCAGGGGCACAGGGGGAGCAGGGGATGAGGAGGCGAGTGAAAAGCAGGACAGCGGGAACAGGGGAGGATTGGGACACAGAGGGAACAGGGGAGAAGGAGGAGGACCACCGAGGAACAAAGAGGGAGCAGGGAGAGGGGAAAGGGAGAACCACGGAGGGAGCGGAGAAGGAGGAGGAGGAAATGGAGGAGAGGGGTGACCGAAGCAACTGCGAGGACCGAGAGGGGAGGACAGGAGAGGGCCGAGGCGGACGGAGGCTCCGCAAAACCCACATGCGGGGAGTCAGGCAGTGCCGCCCACGACACGAGCGATAATGAGAGCCACGGCCTAGCTGTGACTAGAACCTGAGCGCCCGCGTAGCGCGTGTGCTTCTAGCGTGTACATATATTTATGTTTGCATGTATGTATGTATGTATGCATGCATGCATGCATGCATGCATGTATGCATGTATGCATGTATACGTGTATGCATGTAGCCATTTTGGCTCAAGCCATTTTGGCTCAAGCGTTTTTGGCACGGTGCGAGTCTGCTTACTATAGTTTTCCTTTCTCTCGCTTCCCACACACATACGCACCTGCCAGATTCCGCTTGCCTGTGGCGGCGCCCGGCTCATTGTTTCTCTCTCTTCTCGCTAGCGGTGCATGGGTTCCGTGGACGGTGTGAGGAGATCGCGATCACCCGGAAGGATGAACTCCGAGGAGATCAGGCGCTTGATCGAGGAATCCTCCACCAGGGCGGCCGAGAAGGCCGCAGACCTCGGAGCGAACAAAGCGCTGGAGGCCGTCATGCCGAAGATTCAGGATATCGCCGAGACAGCGGCCACTGCGGCGGCCCGCAAGGTATGCGCAGAATCGGAGCAGAAGATGTCTCGCGAACTCGCCGCTGTGCGGGCTCAGATGGCTACAGCATCGTCCATCGCGGGGGCTTCCACGAGCGGTGGCACCACGGCAGCGGGAGGAGGTAACCGGTCCAGGCATGGGGACTTCATTCCGCAATGGGTGGAAATCAAAGGATATATTGCGAATTGGGATGCCAAGGAAGACACCGCCCTGCTCTCCCACGAGGTGGAGCAGTACGTCAACAAGCTGACTGCCAAGATGGATCCGGACAGCCATGCACTCATCGATACACAGGCCACCAAGAGGATCTACGACTCACGCACCTTCAACACGAAAATCCAGATGATGGTGAAACATCACACGCGTGACAGATGCTGGGAACTCAAGGGTGCCATCGACAAGGCCATCAACACGGCGCCCGCTGACTTCACCATCAACTCCAGGACGGTCAGCGTGGTGGTCCAGCTTCCGCCCCACATGACCAATACCAACATGCAGAGCGCAAAATTTCATGGACTTGCCGAGCGTGCACGCATACCTCGGACCGCGTACAAGATCGACTACGTCAGGCCGAGCCGGGACGTTTGCCATCTCCACGTCCAGCACTTGGTTCCAGGTCGCCGCCCCAAGCGTCTGGCCACGTACGACGGCGACTGGGGCATCCAGCAGTCGGAGTGGGAAGACATGCGCACCGAGATCACCTACCAGAATGCGCTGCAGGAGCTCCGCCGCGACTGACGCTCCCTGCCCAGGGGCCGCCTCCTGGGAAAGATCGACGGCTTGAAAGTTATACAGTGGAATATTGGGAAACTCTCCTTCGCGGAATTCCCAGAGGTGCTGTATGACCTTCGCAGGTGGTATGGGAGCCCGACGGTGGTGATCTGTTTGCAGGAAGTGTCCAACTGGCCGGAAGATCCGGAGCTACAAGGGTGGGAGATTCGACACGCCTACGAATCGCACGTAGCCTTGGTCTATCCAAGTGGGATGGCCGGTCATGTCACTAGCGATTTTTACCACGAAGGGCTAAGCTGTTGCGGGATGGCTTTTGGACCGATTGGCATCGCCACGAGTTACCTTCCGCAGACGGGACGCCCACCAACCGAACTTCGAGCAGCACTTCGCGACGCAGAAAAAGTCCATCATCATCTTCATCACCTCCGACATGTTAAACATCATATATTCGGGGGCGATCTCAATACGCATTTTCCTCACATCGAAAACATCATTGGTCCAGGTGCTGATGGCTCTTGGGGTTCTGGTCCTTATCTTGAACGGCAGCAACTTATTATCGAATTCTTGGGATATATTCGTTGTCCTCTCTCTTCTACATATGCCGACATCCCGGACCACACCACACACAGCCATCATGTACATCACACGCGTGGGGTTCTAGACTACATCGCCGTGTCGTCTCGTCTGACGTCCAGGTACGCCATCAGAAACCAGGCTGAACTCACAGCGCCGTCCGGCCGTCGCTTCGACCATTTTCCGATTATGGTGGTCATCTCCAGCTCCTCCTCCAACATCGGCTACGCGCTCAGGGAGCCCAGCGTCCGGGGGTGGTCCGTCGAAGACGCACATCTAGACAAATACCGAGAAACTGTCGAGGACGCTTTCCAGGAAGTCACCGAGCTGGGGGGAGTATCCGAGGCAATTGCTTCCACGGCGCTGAACCTCCCATTCACGACAGCTTCTTCGAGATCCCGGCGAATTCGGCAGAAACCCCCAATAGTGAAAGAGTTGGAGGCCGAGGAACGTGCATGCCCGATCGACGGCAAGCAGGAATTCCGCAAAAGGCTACGGAAAGCACAACGTCAATGGAAACGCAGCATACTACGCCATACTACTCCCTCCGGTACAACTAAACTAAAGAAGCCTCTGTTGAAGTCTCTGCAGGGCCCCGATGGTACCCACGTTCATGATCACAGCATGTGGTACGACATCATACATACGCACTGCACGAACATGTACATGGACCCGCACTGGTCGGATGACGACCTCGTTGCCCGCATCGCCGGTTTCTTGGAGCAAGTGGAGTCTTCAGGAGACGTGGAAATGCAGATATCAGATGTTCTGGCCGGCCTATCCGCCCTGAAGGCCGGTAGCACCCCGGGAATGGACAAAGTCACGACGGAGATGGTGAAGAATCTCCCCACGGAGGTGGTGTATAAGATAGGGGATTTCTTTCGTGCACGTTTTTCTGGAGGGGTGGGTGAGCCTGTTCAGGAGTGGTGCCGCGCTGTGGTTCTCTTCTTGGCCAAGTGTTCCGGCGCGAACTCGATGCAGCAGTTTCGGGGTATTAGTCTCACCAGCGTCATTCTCAAGTGGTATTCGTGCTCCATACTACATCTATTTTGGGACAGGGACGGCCCTCATAAACACATACACAGAGATATCTGCATTTTTGGGTTTACCCCTGGAATGGCATGTACACAGATCACTGAGACAATAAGGGTACTTCTGAGTAAGTCGTTTGAGTGGCCGGAGCACATTCCTGTTCACGTCATTGTCGGGGACGTGCACAAAACATTCGATTACATGCACCCGTCCATCGTCTCCGAAGCCCTTCGGGCATGCCGCCTGCCACCCCGTCTCGCCGCTGCCCTACTACGGGAAGGTCGGTCTATGGAGAACTGGGTGATGTTTGACGGTGTCTTGGAGCATTTACTTATACCCCAGAACGCGTCGGAACGACAGGGCACCCCAGAAACACCAGTGAAATGGAACATTGTCACACAGAGTATCTTTGGCGATTTGGTACCTTCTTGGAAGTCTCGGGGCATGGGCGTGCGCCTCCATGACGAAATCTGGACCCACCTGTGTTGGGCAGACAACTTCTTCCTCCTCAGCGGCAGTGCGGAACACGCTGCCACCATGTTACAAGAGCTCACGACCAGGATGTCCACGTACGGCCTGCATTGGACAGACGGTTCCCTGGAGTACATGAGCCCCGACCCGCATGCCCCGGAAAGTATCGCAATCAACGCCGTCTTCCCACCTGAGGGCTTCGGAAACCCTCCCCAACAGGGCCGGATGGTCGCGTCCAGGGTGACTTCTTCGGTACAGCTGGGTGTGTGCATCGCCGACACAGGATGTACAAAAGCCGCCATCGACCATCGCATCAGCAAAGCAATCAAACTCTTCTGGTCGGAACCGGCCTTCCGCTGTGCCGCTCTTCCCCGCAATGAGCGGCTCCGTCGCTTCAGCGAGTGCGTGGTCCCGTGTCTTCTTTACGGTTGTGACGGGTGGTTCGTATCCAAATGCGTACTCCAACGGCTCTCCCAGCTCGAAGGCGGTCTGCTGCGCCGCACGGCACGCCTTCCTCGACGGCCCGGTGAGGAGTGGATCGACTACACACGTCGAGCCACGCGAGCGGCGAGACAGCTGTACAGACAGAGCGGCCACAAGACCGTAGGTGAGTTGATACTTACCCGTATCCATCGTCTTGCCTCCCACCTCTTCGACCCCAACCCGGAGCCAGCGGAGCCCGAACAGCTTCGTCCAGTCCAGGCTCGCTGGGTCAATGCAGTCTTCAGCTCCTACGCGGAGGATGGTTGGCAAGTCACATCGGGAGTATATCGGGCCTTGGGAAGCTCTGGTCAGTTCTTGGACGAGGATGGCGTTTTACGAAAATGGAACCACCGAAGGGGATGGAAACGCCGTTCAACATGGGAAGACCCACTGATTCTCCACTACGGGACCGGTTGGCGGAAATACGCTTACCAAACAGACGAGTGGGCCAAAAAGGAAGACGACTTCGTATACAGCGTCCTGCAAAAGTGGGGCCTCAACGGCGACCTCCTCAGAGAAGAAAGGGATAGACGCATACAAGCTACCGCCATGGCCTCCGAACAGAAGCAGAAACGTCGACGCGTATTCATCGATGTCCCCATCACCTGGAGACAGCCAAGCAAGTGGTGCATCCTAGCGGACTGCTGGGGTGACAACTCAACAGTGGTGGGCTGGATCAACGGCACGCTCCGGATCAACTCGCCTTACTACAGGGCTCTGGTCTCCACCTTGCAGACACGTCTCTGGGAGCTTTGGAGCGAGTTCCGCCTTCGCACAGCCCGACGCGGTGGTCTCTGGTTCCGACACAAACTCAGAGAGGGCAACACAGCGGCCGACCTGATGGCGACGAAGGCGATCCAAGACAGAGGCGATTCCACTTCAGACTTCAGTGAAGGCTTCCGCCTTGACCCCGTCAACCCCGTGAAATTCCAGTGCAGTTTCGACGGAGGAAAACAAGGCCCCCTTGCGGGTTGTGGTTGGCATATTGCGTGCTGGGACCAAGCTTCCGGTGAGTTCCGCTCCTTTCGACAAGGGTCTGTCTTCCTCCCTGGTGCCACCTCCACCGAAGCAGAGCTTCGGGCTGCTGGCGCGCTTGTCCAAAAATTATCCCTCATTGTACGCATTTATAGGTCAAGGATCGTGGTGCACGCAGCAGCGACCGGGTGACCACTATTGACCGGGCCCACACGGCTTGTGAACTCTGGTGCCCGCACTTGCACTTGCTAGCATGTTTACCCTGTCTCACATAGCCCTTCTCGACCTCGATATACAACGGCGGAAATGCCCAACAAATGCATGTATGCATGTATGTATGTATGTATGTATGTATGTATGTATGTATGTATGCATGCATGCATGCATGCATGCATGCATGGATGGATGGATGGATGGATGGATGTATGTATGTATGTATGTATGTATGTATGTATGTCGCATGCATGTACATGCATGTATGCATGTATGCATGCATGTACATGCATGTATGCATGTATGCATGTATGTATGTATGGGTGGATGGATGGATGGATGGATGGATGTACGTATGTGTGCATGTGTGTGTATATCGGGGCACTCCTGGCCCAGCAGTCCATCGTACTGCAAAAATGAAAGCGGCTTCTGTGCGCCTTTTTTTTTGACCTCGCGAGGCCCTCGCTGGGCCCCACAGGCCCTCGCCACGAAACAACTCGGGAGGAAGAGCCGGCCCCCGGGGAACATCTCGCGACTTCTGCTGGGGGCCGCGCACTGCACAGGTCAAGACGTCGGATCTGTGGCCAGTGCCTTCTCGAGACGCTGGGTTCCTGTGCGGGACCTCGGGGGCCGTGGATGGAGCAGGCCGCCCCGCAGCGGGCGACCGGGGCGGCGGCGTTGTGCCCCAGGATGTCCCGCCCCGCGGCGCGCGCCCAGGAGCCTGCGATCACGTCTGTCGCCAAGTTCTCGCCCGAGAACTTCCGCCCGGTCCTGGGGCCGCCGGATGGCGACGACGAGGACGAGGACGAAGACGAGGACGACGAGGACGACGAGGATGACGAGGACGAGCACGACGCCGACGACGACGCGGGCGACGACGGCGAGGAGGACGCGGACGAGGACGATGCCGTCGACGCCGAGGACGACGAGGACGACGAGGACGACGAGGACGAACACGACGCCGACGACGACGACGAGGGCGACGACGGCGAGGAGGACGCGGACGAGGACGATGCCGTCGACGCCGACGACGACGAGGACGACGAGGACGACGAGGACGACGACGACGCCGACGACGACGCCGACGACGAGGACGACGAGGACGACGACGCCGACGACGACGACGACGAAGACGACGACCGCGAGGAGGACGCGGACGAGGACGACGCCGTCGACGCCGACGACGACGAGGACGACGAGGACGACGACGATGACGACGAGGATGACGACGACGCCGACGCCGCCGCCGCCGCCGATGACGACGACGACGACGGCGGCGACGACGAGGATGACGAAGACGGGGACGGGGACGACGAGGACCACGATGATGACGATGACGAGGAGGACGAGGATGACGACGAGGACGCGGACGACGACGACGCCGTCGACGCCGGCGACGACGAGGACGACGAGGACGACGGACGACGCCGATGACGACGAGGACGCCGACGACGACGACGCCGACGCCGCCGCCGCCGACGGTGGCGACAACGACGACGATGACAATGCCGACGACGACCACGACGAAGACACTGACGACGACAACGGCGACGACTACGACGACATTACCCACGACGACGGGATGATGACGACGACGACAGGGACGACGACCACGACGAAGACGACGAGGACGACGAGGACGACGAGGACGACGAGGACGACGAGGACGCAGACGACGACGACGACGACGAGGTCGCGACGACGGCGCATATGTATGCGTTGCATTCGTGCGCAGGCTTCTGCAGGGAGCACGGTTTTCAGTGGCGCGTTGAACGAGCTCATTCGGATCTCCCCACCCGCGGGCACGGCATCAGCATCGATATCTCACACGATACCCACACGAGGGGACGATGCAAAGCCTAATTCGGGGAGCCTCCAGACGGACCTGCTCCGCTCGGGCAGAGTGGCTGCCGTTTTGGCCAGCCCTCCTTGCAGCGGCACGACGCATTTCCTCTCCTTAGAAGTCGAGGAAGCTGTAAACCCTCAGGACCCTGCGCTCCATTGAGTAGTCCTTCTTGGGGGCTAGTCTTTGCTCAGCAAGAATCAAAGGGTCCAGCTAGACCTAGTGATTAAGTTGCTTTGCGCCACGATTACCTCCTCCTGCTCCTCCTCCTCCTCCTCCTCCTTTCCTTACCTTTTTGAGACTGGCCTGGAGGCACGGGGTCCAGGCTATCATGGAGCACCCATCTTCATGCACATGGGGAGAAGGAGTCCCAAGTGCATGGCATTTGCATAGTCCGAAAGATTAGCGAAGCAGCAGCACGTCAGGGCACATGTCACTAACCAGTGCCAGTCTGGAGGAGTTGCAATTAGACTTACCACCCTTTCCGATGCTCACTTGCCGCAGTTGCAGTCGTGGCTGGAAGGCATGAGAGGGGTGGGATTATGAGAGGGGGGCCCTCTTCACAGATCGCTGCAGGGCCTTGACGCCGATGGCTTATGCATCTCACCAGGTGCTAACACTTATCTCAACGGGTTGTGTAGATGTTTAGCTAGAACCCTTCTGGAAGCCATTGCAACCTTTTTTTTCAAAGTTTGTTCTCCTCCCCGCTCTTCTCTCCTCACCCTGGGGGACAACTCAGCCTCCTTGGATTGGACTACGAGCTCTGAGCAGGCCTTGCACAGACAGCCAAGGAATTGGTGCATCCAACGACGGGTGGGAAATACTGGTGGGGATCGGGGATCAGGCCATACCTTACCTTATCAGATCTTATCTACTGTAGGGGCATCGTGATGGATTGCATGCTACATGGTAACCGTGTGGCGACCAGGGGTGCGTGAGTTAATCAGGTTTGTGGCTTTGCTTGCATTGCCCTCTCCTGCACTTACCCCTCTGACTGACCGAATTCGCGAAATTTAGCGGCTTCAGGCGAAGGACCCCAGGCTAAAGGTGTGCAGCACCTGAGGGTGACGTCCTGGTACGCCCACGTCAAAAGTTGGGGGCGCACTGCCTTGTTTGCAGGTGCTCGTCCCTGTGCAGTAGTCTGAATCACTACCTCGTGATCACCACGCACCCCCAGTACCAAATTATTCAAATGAGTTTTGGTATCTGGGCTTTTCGTAGGCTGCGCAGGCGCGTTGGCGCGCTCGGCGTCGACGCGCACGCGCGCGATTGTCGAGCTCGTGTGACTTGCATGTCGATGCGCTGTCATGGGCACGGCGGGGTTGCGCATTTCCCTCGCTTCAGGTTGATCGCGGAGGGGAGTCATGCCACATTTTCGTTTGGGGCGGCGTTCCCCACACCTGAAATTCAGATCACCCCTGTCTGATATTCATATAGCCCCTGTCTGAAATTCAGATTGCCCCCCCCCCCCCCAGGGACTCGTGCGAGGCGTTCAGCTTGAGACTTCTGCATCTTATAATTCAGATTGGCCTGGTCTGACATTCAGGTTGGCACGTTCTGATTTTCATATGGCCTTTGTCTGAATTTCAGATGTGATGGCTCCGCATGGAAGAATCCTTCGGTTTGGTGCCGCTGCTCTCGGGACGAACGTGGTTGACGTTAGCCCTCCTGCGTGGTTGCGACATGGGACATGAGAGTGCTCTTGCCTTATTGTTAGGGTATCTGGCACTCGAAGCTCCGATGTTCCCTTGGACGTGGCGCGAATTGCGGATGCGAAGAAATGAAACTTCGATTTTTCATGGTTGGGGGCGTCTGGTGATGACCACGTAGTCACTGAAGCTGCCTAGGGGGAATGATCTCTCAGCTTTTCATTTTCACTTACGTCCTTATACCATGGCTGCGTCATAGGCAGAGCCCCGATTGATTTTGAGTTCTTTGGTGCAGCACGTCGGCTGCATACCACCTGCGCCGACTGGTACAGGAAGGATCGGCCCGCCGCGAGCGTTGGCAGCTACTGCCGTTTTGTTTGTCCCTTCCTGTCATCCTGTCCCAAATTCTGTGGTTGTGCATCGACCCATCAGCCTTTCGACCCACCGGCCGAAAAGTAGGAACAGGTGAATGGGGGATGGTGGTTGTGGTGGTGATGATAATGATGAGGATAAGTATGATGATGCTGATGATAATGATGATGATGCCGGTGCTGATTAGGATGCTGTTGATGATGATGATGACGACGGCGACGACGACACATATGATTCTGATGATGATGATTCCGATGATGATGATGATGATGATGATGATGACGATGATGATGATGATGATGATACTGATAATGACGATTCTGATGATGCTGGTGATGGTGCTACTGACACTTTTTTCTGCAGGTCCGGACAGCGATAGTTCTGATGCTGCTGCTGACTGATGGTGGTGATGACGGTGATGATAATCGTACTGATGATGGTGATGATGATGGTGATGCTGCTGATGCTGATGCTGATGATGATGCTGATGATGACGATGATGCTGATGAGGATGCTGATGATGATGATGGTATGAGCTGATAATGATGATTATGGTGGTGATGATGCTGATGCTGTTGATGCTGATGATACAGCTGATTATTAGGCTTGTGATGATGAGGATGATGATATGGGATGGTAATGGTGATTATGGTGGTGGTGATGCTGCTGTTGATGCTGATGATGCAACTGATGATTATGGTGGTGATGATGGTGATGATGTTGATGATGATGATGATGCTGATGCTGATGATGATGCTGCTGATGACGACGATGGTGATGATGATGATGATGATGAGGAGTATGATAAACTGATAGTGTAGTGATGAGTATGATGGCGATGATGATGACGCTGCTGATGCTGATCATGCAGCTGGTGACCATAATGCTGATATCGATGATGCTGATGACAATGATGGCAATGATGATGCTGATGACGATGATGATGATGACGATGATGATGATGATGATGATGATGATGATGATGATGATGATGATGATGATGATGATGATGATGACGAAGATGGTGATGGTGGTGATGCTGCTGCTGATGATGCTGGTGGTGATGATGATAATGGTGATGGTTGTGGTGCTGATGGTGGTGTTCATGATGTTGACTATGATGGTGACTGAGAGGAGGATGAGGAGGAGAAGGATAGGGAGGAGGAGGAGGAGGAGGAGGAGGAGGAGGAGGAGGAGGAGGAGGAGGATCCAGGCCTCTCAGATGGGCCGGAGTCGGTGGGGTCGGAGGATCGCGTTGCATCCACGATCCATCGACGATGCGGCTCGATTTGGGGCCAGGACTTCTCCACGCAAACGTTGCCGACGTCGCCGATGCATCGCCGATGCATCGGCGATGCGACGCGATTCTCCGACCCCATCCCTCGAACACCATTTCCGATGCCTCCTGCGGAGGAGGGGAGGGGGGGAGGAGGAGTAGGAGGAGGAGGAGGAGTAGGAGGAGGAGTAGGAGGAGGAGGAGGACTAGCGACTAAGGAGGAGGAGAAGGAGGAGGAGGACGAGGAGGAGGAGGAGGAGGAAAAAGAGAAGGAGGTGGAGGAAGAGGAGGAGGAGGAGGAGGAGGAGGAGGAGGAGGAGCAGGAGCAGGAGGAGAGAGGAAGAGGAGAAGGAGGAGTGGTTGACGAGGAGGACGAGGAACGAGAAATGACATGTATAGGTGGATGAAGGAGGGATGGAGGGCGCAGGAGGGAGGGGAGTTGAGCAGCGCGGCCGCCGCCTCCTCCGTTGGCAGGTTGGCTGGGCCGAGAACGCGCCGCAGCCGACGACCACCTGCCCCGAAGGCGCCCGGCCCTCCCAGAACGGCAGGGCCTTTGGGCGGACTGTCTTGTTCACTTCCGGCGTTTTTGGCCAGTCGCGCTTCGCGAGGGTTCTTCAGCGGCACCGCAATGGGTATTCACTAACGGGCACTTCGGGAAGTTGCCGGAAGTTGCCACTTTAGGGCCTCTTTTTGGCATTGCGGCGTTGTCCACATCGGTGAGGGTTGGGTTCGCCGGGTCACTGGCCAAAGTACCCGTTAGTGGAGTCCCCGTTGGAGGGGCGCTGAGTTCTAGCCCAGGCGGGAGGAGACCGCAGCAGAGTCCCGGAGGAAGAACGGGGAGCCCTGGACCCTAGACCGCCTGGTCCGGCGGCCGCGTCGCCTGTGACAGACAGCACCATCGATTCAGGAATCGTGCTCTCGCCTCAGTGCTTCTGGCTATCGGAGGTGTATAGACCTCCTACCCCTGACACGTCGATTAAGGAATTGGCCGTCTTCGGTTCGCGAGAGGGCGTCGCGGCCGTCATTTTTGCGGGTCCAGGTCCGTCGGTTTCGATCCCAGGCCGTTTTCATTAAGCGGTGGTTTGCTAAAGGGAGGTTTGTCCACCGCCGAGGCTACCTTTTCGGACCAGACGGCCACGATCCTTTGGACAAGACGTACTGAGGCGCACATGGCCCGCGCTCTCGCCCTCGTCCCAGCTGAATCTCAGACCCCTGGCCGATCTCCCACTCCTCGACCCGCCTCTTCACCCCTTTGCCGCTATCAGGGTGCTTGCCGGGGCATGTTTTTGCTCGAGCAAGCTGCGCAGAAGATGAGCAAGTCCCTTTACCGCTACCGCGGCTGTCGGAGTGCTGAGATAAGGACCACTGGGCCCAGGAGGGGCTCTGATTTCTGGGTCGTTCCTCACGTCTGGATATGGTTGTGGAGGACGATCAATGGAGAGAAAGCATGTTGCCAAGTAATTCCCAGATGTCAGAAACATGTGTTAAACATGTAAAACAGCTTAGAACATGTTTAGAACACTTTCCGACATTTCAAACACATTTATAATTCAATGATAGGACTGTTAGCGTGTCCATTGTCGTGGCATCCACCAGGGTAGGGGGACCTGTTCGTGGCCGTGCCTCGCCGTGGCCAGGGAAAAACCCTGGTTCCTTATTCAGCGGTCCTGCAGTCGCAATCGACCGTAAGGATGGGAAACCTTCCCAGGCTGCCCCTGCAGCCGTGCCTCGTTTTTCCATCCTTGACTGCCTTCTCGATGGCCCGCCGCGCTCGAGAAAGCTTGAGCACGGGCGTCCAGGGGGCTTGCATCGCTATCGCGCATCCTTACTGTCTGTTTTGAGTAGCATGGCAGCGCGACGACTGTACAGTGGAAACCCATGCCAAGAAACACCCTTCTTGCCTCTGGGTTTCCTTTGTTCTGGTGGTTTTGCAAATGAAAACGTGACGTTCCCACACCAAAAACCAATGGACGTCCTGGGGTCTCAGGATTGGGTTTCTTGTTGAAGGTTTCTTGTGGACTGGCCTCTCCTGTAGTATTCTACTGATGTAGCTGCTCCCTGCAGTGCTCCCAGACCCCCGACGTCATGATTTCTTTAGGGCGTCGACCCGCAGAGGTCTCGACCCATCCCCCGGATCGGTTTTTCATTCTGGTGATTGTCCCGAGGCCACGGCGAGAAGGGGAGGAGGAGGAGGAGGAGGAGGAGGAGGAGGAGGAGGAGGAGGAGGAGGAGGAGGAGGAGGAGGAGGAGGAGGAGGAGGAGGAGGAGGGGGAGGAGGAGGAGGACGAGGAGGAGGAGGAGGAGGAGGAGGAGGAGGAGGAGGAGGAGGAGGAGGAGGAGCGCGGAGGAGGAGCGCGGAGGAGGAGCGAGTGGACTCGCCTTTCAACTCTGGCCCGAGCGCACCCCGGAGAGCTCCCGCGCTCGCGGTGTGCAGCACACGGGCGCCCCGAGGACCCCACGGGCCCCGTGCTTTCTCGCCAGGGTCCCTTGGGCCCCCCCGGGGAGGGCCCTCTGGGGGCACTCGGGGCCGCCAGAAGACGACTCGGGACGAGGATCCTGGCTATGGGGGGAAGGCTCCCGTCGAACGGGGCCAGGCTACTACGACGACGACGACGACGACGACCACGACGACGACGACGACGACGACGACGACGACGACGACGACGACGACGACGACGACGACGACGACGACGACGACAGCGCCGACGACGACGACCTCTAGCGCTAACACTAAACTAGGATATCCGTTGCAGGGCGTTTCGGAACGCTCTGAGAAGGCCGTGGCGCTCGAGACGTCCTCCAGAGCCAGCAGATCTCAGAGGTTCTCGAGTTATCCTCGCCCGCATCCATCCTCGTCCTGGCTTCGTCTCAGGACGGCTCCTGGGGCTCCAGGTCCCGTTTCCCTCAGGACACCTTTGCTTCGTGCCGAGCTGCCTTTCCGCTCCCGTCCTTGCTTCCTTCACTTCGGCGCACTGGGGCCCTTTTCGGGCCCTGGGCCCTGGGCCGTCGAACATGGGTCCTGGACGAGAAGCTGCCCCAGGGGCTGAGGAGATTGAAGAGCTAGCCAGTGGGTCGAAATTCTGGAGGGGAGGGAGGGGTCTGAACATGCTGGGCGGGGATGGTACACGCTGGTCGTTGAACGTAGGTCAGAGTGAGGGGGCCGAACGGTCATTCATTGTCCCTGGGTGCGTGGATGAAGTGAGATTCCGCGGTGCGGATTCGTGTTGTTGTTTGTTGTTGTTGAACATTATTAATTCTAAAGAATAATTATTGTTGGGCCCCCTGGTGCGCGCCCCCCCCGCCGCGCCTAGGCCGCAGCCACGTTTTCATCATTTTCGTGAGGAAGCCTCAGGTAATTCGAGGTGATCAAGATCCGGTTGTTTTGTTGTAATCCGTTTTCCCTTGCAAAAAACACTATAAAATGACATTTCTTGTTCTAATATAATCAAATTTCAAGAATCCCTTGTAAAAAATAAGGTAAAGTGGACATTCGCGCGCGCAAGACGAAATCCTTCCAAAAGCTTAGTGTTCGGAGCGATTTCAACATAAAAACATCAAAAAACCAATGGTTTTTCAACAAAAAAATGTCAAAATCTCATCCCGCGCGCTCTTGCGGATTCGTAGGAAACCTCACATTTTTTAACATTTCTGTCAAGCGGGTTTTTGCGAGCAACTTTTTCGAACTTCTGCGACAACGGTTGCGCACCTGCCAGGGCCATCATCCCTGTCAAATAATACCATGCGGGACAGATTCGTTTTTTCTTCGCGCGCGCACGCCGAAATCTCCAAAAACCATTGGGTTCTTAAGAATTTTAGCACCGCGCATCATAAAATCACACGAATCGCACCGTAGGTCCTCGAAAAACACCTGCACGACTTTTCAAAATTTCCACCCGCGCGCGCTGTCCGAATCCTAAAAAAAAACAATGGTTTCCCAACATTTATGTTACATGAGCTCGCGCGAGCTACTTTCGCACGCTCTTGCAACGGGGTTCGCGCGCCTGCCAGGGGCCAGAATCCCTTGTATATTCTGTCCATATCATATTTGTGGATGTTCTGTGGAAGGCTTAACAACTTCTGTGGGTTAACAAGGCTTAACAACTTCTGTGGGTGTACGAACGTAGGCTTAACAACTTCTGTGGGTGTGTACTCCACGCCAGTGTAGTAGCCACGGTCGTCCGCAGGCCACGAAGTGAAGTGTCCGAACGTCATAGGGCGGGAAGCTGGGTGTGGGTGGTGGCGAAGAGTCGTGTGGATATTTGGTAGAGCTTGCACTGCCCCCCCACAAAGTGGGGGTATTGGCTGGCGTCGCATGAAAACCCTGGCACTGGTGAGAACACTGAGCGTTCGGGTAAAGTGATTGTTGTTGTTGTTGTTGTTGTTGTTGTTGTTGTTGTTGTTGTTGTTGTTGTTGTTGTTGTTGTTGTTGTTGAACATTATTTATTCTAAAGAATAATTATTGTTGGGCCCCCTGGTGCGCGCCCCCCCTGCGCCGCCTAGGCCGCAGCTACATTTTCATCATTTTCGTGAGGAAGCCTCAGAAAAGAGGGTGTGTACAGGATCCGGTTGTTTTGTTGTAATCCGCTTTCCCTTGCAAAAAACAATAGAAAATGACATTTCTTGTTCTAATATAATCAAATTTCAAGAATCCCTTGCAAAAAATAAGGTAAAGTGGACATTCGCGCGCGCAAGACGAAATCCTTCCAAAACCTTAGTGTTCGCAGCGATTTTAACATAAAAACATCAAAAAACCAATGGTTTTTCAACAAACAAATTGTCAAAATCTCATCCCGCGCGCTCTTGCGGATTCGTAGGAAACCCAACACTTTTTAAACATTTCTGTCAAACGGGCTTTTGCGAGCAACTTTTTCGAACTTCTGCGACAACGGTTGCGCACCTGCCAGGGCCATCATCCCTGTCAAATAATACCATGCGGGACACATTCGTTTTTTCTTCGCGCGCGCACGCCGAAATCTCCAAAAACCATTGGGTGTTTAAGAATTTTAGCACCGCGCATCATAAAATCACACGAATCGCACCGTAGGTCCTCGAAAACACAGCCGCGGCGGGGAAAAGACGGTGGGTGGGCGTGCAAGCGCCGTTCCCGCCCCTCCTCTCTCTTCTCTCCTTTCCTCCTTGTCCTGCTCCTCCTCCTCCTCCTCCGGCGGGGGGCGTGAGGATCCGGCATCGCTCACAACCATCGGGACAACCATCGGGACAACCATCGGAACAACCATCGGGACAACCATCGGGACAATCATCGGGACAGTCATCGGGACAACGATCGGGACAAGCACAACCATCAGGACAACCATCGGGACAATCATCGGGACAACGATCGGGACAACCACAACCATCAGGACAACCATCGGGACAACCATCGAGACAACCATCGGGACAACCATATCCTCTCTCTCTTGTGTATTCCCACATCCCTCAGGAATTTGCCCTAAAGATGTGATCAACTATCTTGTGAGTACGTATCATGTGTATCATGTGTATCATGTACCATATGCATCATATGCAACAGATGTTCTGTGGAAGGCTTAACAACTTCTGTGGGTTAACAAGGCTTAACAACTTCTGTGGGTGTACGAACGTAGGCTTAACAACTTCTGTGGGTGTGTACTCCACGCCAGTGTAGTAGCCACGGTCGTCCGCAGGCCACGAAGTGAAGTGTCCGAACGTCATAGGGCGGGAAGCTGGGTGTGGGTGGTGGCGAAGAGTCGTGTGGATATTTGGTAGAGCTTGCACTGCCCCCCCACAAAGTGGGTATTGGCTGGCGTCGCATGAAAACCCTGGCACTGGTGAGAACACTGAGCGTTCGGGTAAAGTGATTGTTGTTGTTGTCGTCGTCGTCGTCGTCGTCGTCGTCGTCGTCGTTGTTGTTGTTGTTGTTGTTGTTGTTGTTTGCTGTTGTTTGTTGTTGTTGTCTGTTGTCGTCGTCCCACCCGCAACCCGCCCCGCGACCCACCCGCGACCCACCCCGCGACCCACCCGCGACCCACCCGCGACCCACCCGCGACCCACCTGCGACCCACCCCGCGACCCACCCCGCGACTCACCCCGCGACCCACCCCGCGACCCACCCTGCGACCCACCCTGCGACCCACCCGCGACCCACCCGCGACCCACCCCGCGACCCACCCCGCGACCCACCCGCGACCCACCCCACGACCCACCCGCGACCCACCCCGCGACCCACCCGCGACCCACCTTCGACCCAAACCACGTTCAAGGTACAAACCACCATTTTCGGCGCCTGCGGCGGGCTTTTTTTGCATTCCTTCCAGGTGGAGAGCCCGCGACCCACCCCCTCACCAACACGCGACCAACCCGCGACCCAAACCACGTTCAGGGTACAAACCACATTTTTCGGCGCCTGCGGCGGGCATCTTTTGAATCGTTCTAGGTGGAGAGACCGCGGCCCACCCGCGACCACGTTCAGGGTACAAACCAATTTTTTCGGCGCCTGCGGCGAGCATCTTTTGCATTCGTTCCCGGTGGAGAACCCGCGGCCCACCCGCAACCCAAACCACGTTCAGTGTATAAACCAATTTTTTCGGCGCCTGCGGCGGGCTGCTTTTGCAGGAGGACGAGGAGGGGGAGGAGGAGGAGGAGGAGGAGGAGGAGGAGGAGGAGGAGGAGCAGCAGGAGCAGCAGGAGAAGGAGGAGGAGCAGCAGGAGGAGGAGGAGGAGGAGGAGGAGGGGAGGAGGGAGGGGACGACGACGATGGACGTCGACGACTACGAGACGACAGGAGGAGTGGAGGATCGGGAGGGGGAGGAGGAGGACGACGAGGAGGAACATGACGACAATGGGAGGACGATGATGGAAGGACGAGGGGGGGAGAGGGAGGACGAGGAAGAAGCGGAGGAAGGAGGAGGACGAGGTGGAGGAGAGGACGACGATGACGATGAGAACGAGGACGAGGACGAGGACGAGGAGGAGGAGTAGGAGGCGGAGGAGGTGGAGGAGGAGGAAAGAGGAGGAGTAGGAGGAGGGGAGGAGGAGCGTAGGAGGAGGACGAGGAGGAGGAGGAGAGCGCCATCGACAAGGAAGGTGGGGGCCACGAGGTCCGCCGGCTTGACGACGCCCGCGTCGCCCGCGCCCGCCCCCTCACTCTTATCCGCAATTGCGGGGTGCTATATATTTCTGGATGCCCATATCCCAATCTCTTTTAGGAGCCTTCCTACTTCAACCATCGAGTACTTTGTCCTTTCCCTTCCTTATCAGGGGGCGGGCGGAAGCCCAAGCTACTTCCAGCGCCTTCCTACGTCGTGCTTCTACCCACCTCTTGCGACCGACGGGTATTGGTGATTGGGGCATGCATCGCGATGAAGGAACGCGATTGTTGAGGAAAAATGAGCCCCCCCCGATGGGTTTCTCCCTGGCCCCCTTGCCGGGCACCAGGGCCGTCAGAAGACAACTCGGTTTGAGATCGGGTCTCCCGGGGAGGATCAGCTGCCACTCCTCGGTCACCGATTCTTCCTTTTCACCTCCTTCTCATCTGCCTCCTTCCCTGTCCTGATATTCGCCTCCTTTGCCGCAACCCATACCTCGTCCAAGTCCTCCCTCCTCCTCATTTCCCTCAGATGCAGGAGGAGGGGGAGCAGACGGGAGAGGATGGGGGGGGGGCAGATGGGAGATAGGGAAGGAGGTAATGAGGGGAGAGAAAGAGATGGGTGGAGAGGGGTGAAGAGGGCGGGAGAGGGATCGATGGGAGGAGAGAGAGGGATGGAGAAGGCGACGATACCTGAAAGGACGTAGACAAGGTTGCAGGACTTTCGCTACAAGGAGGAGGAGGAGAAGGAGGAGGAGGAGGAGGAGGAGGAAGAGAAGGAGGTGGAGGAAGGGGGGGAGGAGGAGGAGGAGGATGAGGAGGAGGAGGAGGAGGAGGAGGAGGAGGAGAATGAGGAGGATTGAGGAGGGCAGCGGAGGAGGGGGGTGGCGGTGGGATGGAAAGGGAAGAGGCAGGAGGCAGGGAGAATTGAGGAGGATGAGGAGGAGGAGGAGGATCAGGAGGAGGAGTAGGAGGAGGGGAGGACTCAGGAGGAGGAGGAGGAGGAGGAGGATAAGGATGAGGAGGAGGGGCAGCAGCAGTAGTGCATGTATGTAGGCATGCACGAGCGTGTTTCGCTGTCGCTTGGGACTTGGTGGAGCGGGTACGACCTTACCCTTCGTCGCGGGCAAACGCCGAAGACGGCGGTGGTGGCGACGACGACAACCGCAACCACGACCGCTACCACGACCACGACGACGACGACAACCACGGCGACGACGACGACGACGTCACCTCAACAACAACAGTTCTCATTTGATGTCCCGCCCGCCCGCCGACCCAGTGTACTGTCCCACCCGTCGTCGTCATCGCCGACTTCGTTGGTGGTTGTCACATTTTGTCCTCCAACCGTGTCCTGCCTATGAGTGCGGGTTCCATTTCATGTCCCGCCCGCCTGACCGACTGAAACTGTGCCCCTGCTTGTCGTCGTCGTCGTCCTTGTTGCCCTCGGTGGTGGCTGTTATGGGTTTTTCTCCAACCTTCTCCCTTCAACGAGTGAGGGTTCCATTTCATGTCCCGCCCGCCCGACTGAACGTTCCATCCATGTTCGTCGTCATCGTCTTGGTCGTCGTCGTCGTCTCCGCCGCCGTCGGTGGTTGTTGTATGCCCCCCCAATATTGCCCCGTCAACGAATCAGGGCACCATGTAATGTCCCGCCCGCCCGCCCGAGTGAACCTTCCACCCGTGGCCCCAAGCAATGCCAATGCCAAGCAACGCCAAGCAATGCCAAGCAATGCTACGCAATGCGTAGCATTGCCAAGCAACGGTTCCAAGCAAGGCCGAACTATATCAATCACTGCCAAGCAATGCCACCTGCGCCTAGCAATGCCAAACAGTGCAAACACATGTAACGCAATGCCAGTCGATGCAAAGCACTGCCAACTAATGCCAACTCATGCCTCCTCATCCTCTGTTCTCCTTCTCTCGCTCCCTTCTTCTCTGCGCCATGCCAAGCAATTATTGAAAGATGTATGGCCTTCTCGTGCGAGGGCCACGACCGCCAGTGGCAGGATACCTTGACAACCCGCGAAGCGACGAGTCAGAGTCCGCGAACAGGTGCGCGGAGCCTGGTCGTGATGTGCGCTGCGAAAACATTAGATTCCAAACACATGCAGCCCTGAATCTCCAAGCCACCCCAGGCTGCCCAAACATTGTGAACAGCACCCCGATCTCCCCCCCCGATCCCCCATGAGAAGGGGGAGGGGGGGGGGAGGGGGGCAGGGGAGGAGGAGGAGGAGGAGGAGGAGGAGGAGAAGGAGGAGAAGGAGGAGAAGGAGGAGGAGGAGGAGGAGGAGGAGGAGGAGGAGAGGAGGAGGAGGAGGAGGAGGAGGAGGAGGATGATGACTATGAGGAGGACGAGGAGGATGAGGAGGGGGAGAGGAGAAGGACGGGGAGGGGGAGGAGGATGGGAGGAAGAGGGCATGAGAGGAGGAGAAGGATGTGGAGGAGGAGGAGGACGAGGAGGAGGAGGAGGAGGAGGACGAGGAGTAGGAGGCCCCGCCCACTCCTGACTCCCTTCGCTCCCTGGGCACGCCCGAGTCGGCCCCAGGGACGCTCGACTTCAGGGCCAACCGTCTGCCCATCGGCCACGCGGACGCGCCACGCCTGGGGCGCTTGAGGAGGAGGAGGAGGAGGGGGAGGATGAGGGGGAGTTGGAGAAGGAGGAGGAGGAGGTGGAGGAGGAGGAGGAAGAGTAGAAGGAGGAAGAGAAGGAGGAGAAGGAGGAGGAGGAGGGGGAAGAGTAGGAGGAGGAGGAGGGGGAAGGCGTGAATAGGAGGAGGAAGAGATGGAGGAGGAGAGGGAATATGGAGGACCAGGGGGGTCTAGTGGGAACCTGGCGTTTGACAGGCAGCAGCAAGCAAATCACGTTACTGCCCTGAGTAATTGTGGCCCCCGCGCCCCCCCCCAGGCATATGAAGAGGATTCTTGGCCTTCCCAGGCATAGGAAGAGGGTTACGCCGAAGGTCTTTCTGGCAATGTAGCGGATGATGCTGACCTGTTGTCAGTGTTATTTTTTCCAGTGCCGCCAGGTCCCAGTGCTCATAGTTGACGCCGTTGGGCTTCACCTTTTCACGGTACAGCCCCGCTGCAATGTAGTTGCGTTTTCGTTGAGCAGCGTGAGCCGTTGCTGCCACTGTTTCAACATTCTCGCACCCGTTTGCCCCAGCAACGGGATTGGATTAATGAAGGCATATCTTCCTCAGGCAGTCCTTGGGCGCAAACAGTACCGCTTTTCACAATACAGCTGACGACGCTGGGCCACGGCTAGTTCCCGGTCGCTGTGCGGCTCCCAGCACGGCTTGCAATGCCGGTCCGGGCTGCCCATTGTTTTTTTCGCACGTGTGGCCAAGCAGCGTAGCTGATGACGTCAGGCTCCAGGCTGTGTCCCCAGATCTCGCTGTGCGGTATCGGTGCCAGCTGCCGCTGCCCCCTTCTCGCCCGCCACTTCTCGCAGCATGACCCAGTCGCAGCGTGTCTTCACCACCCACCAAACCATCCCAACCCAACCCGAAGGCTCAGATTTACCCTCGATTTCTAGTGGGGGGGGGTCCGGGAACATCGAAAAAACACATATGGAGCCCATACCCCCCCAACCCGAAATTCGGGTCTTCGGGTTGGGTTGGGGTGGTCTGGTAGGTAGTCATGTCTGCGTGCTCTGGGATCTAGCTCGCCTGGGCCACCGCCCGCCTGCCTCGGCACGCCTTCTCGCGTGCCCCGGTCGCCGCGAGGCGGTGCTCGTCGGGCTCGGGCTCGACTTCGCCACAGCCCGTTCTCTCGCTCCCCCGGTGGTGCCCGTTCAGGCCTCTCGGTGACCGGAGCGCCCGCAGCTCGTGACGTCTGGCGTCCCCCTCTGGCGCGGCACTTGCGCCCGCTGCCACTGCTCGCCTGCTCCCTGCGGCCTGCGCCATCTCTCCACGGGCCAACGGCGAGCGTGCGCGTGCGGGCACCCCCATCTCGCCCAGCGCCCGCCCGCCCGCCGGCAGGGCGCCCTCGGGGCGACCTCTGCCGCACAGGGGGGGAGGGGCGACGTGCCACGCCGCCTGGCCGCTCTCCATCCCTTCTCCTTATCTTGGCATCGCTTGGACGTGTGCGTTTTTCCTTCGGCGAGGACAATCGAGGAGCATCCTTGGTCCTTGATCATTTGGCGAGAAAAACCACGCACGGAACCGACCAAAAACACAGGGAATGGACGTCCGAGCGATGGCGAGTCATCGCCCCTGGCGGTTTTCCCGCGCGAAGTTCAAGCATGCCGTGATGCACGGCTTGGGAGCCCTGCGCCCGCCTCGAGAGGCCCCCATCGGCTCTGCCGCTCCCGAGCTTGCCGAGGGGAGCCCAGAGGCTTGGCGCGGCGGGGGCGCCCCCTCCCCTCCCCGAGAGGAGCGGCCGTGGGGGAGGAAGAGGAGGAGGGTGCGGATGGCACGAGATGGAGGAGGTTGAGTGCAGGATGGTGCTCATGAGGCGGAGGAGTAGGAGGTGGAGGAGGAGGATGAGGAGGAGGAGGAGGAGGACCAGTGTGATTCCAAGACGCATTAACGACTGTGCAATAAACCCTCCCTCCACGTTCCCTCTCCACAGGTCCCTAGTGGGAGACAACCAGTGGTCCCTTGCAGGACGCGCCCCATTGGAAGTCAACCGTCTGAGAACCTTCAATCGTGTGAAAACACGGTTCCTTGAATTTTAGCGCCGCTGATTACCATGATTGTTGCGTCTTGACAGAGACGTGCCAACACACTATTCGTGGGACTCCTGCACCGCGGAACAAAGTGATCGTTGCGACTTGGTGTTCCTAACTCGTGGCAGAACACGTTTCCTGAGCCTTCAACCATACGCATCCTTGCGAATTGTTGCGCACTTCAGCCATACGCATCCTTGCACACTGTTGCACGACTGCGCGTGGCGCCAAGGCGAGCGCCGCAGTGGAAAAGGAGCCGCCCTCAACTTTGACTGTGCCCACCTTAAAGACGAATATGCGTGGTGCTCAGGCGAGATCCACATTTTGAAAAGGAACCGCTTCCGTCCTTGAACTGGCTGCAAACTCATACGACGAATGTGGGCGGAAACAGCGCGAGAGCCACATTTTGAACACCACTCGCCGAACATCCTGGAAACTGTTGCAGACTCTCAAGGTGAAAGTGCGCGGCGCTCAGGCGAGAACCACATTTTTACTAGGACGCGCCCTCCGTCCTTGAAGATGTTGCACACTTTAAAACGAATGTGCGCCGCGCTAAGGCGAGAGCCACATTCGGGAAAGAGCCACATTCGTGAAAGGACCCTCCCTCCATCCTTGAAGCTGTTGCGCATTCCGAGCTTCAGGACCATACGTGGTAATGACGTCTCAGGCGCAACGCCCTGTCAGCCTTACCGACACGTCTGGGGGTGCGACACGAAGGGTTTATGTACACGGGAACGGGATGGAGGCGAAGGAGGGGTGGGGAGTAGGTAGCGGAGGAGGGCATCATTTTTAGGAGGAGGAGGAGGGGGAGGAGGAGAGGGGCGAGAATGGGGATGATGTTGCTGGGGTTGACAATGGTGTTGATGATAGTGATGGTCATGATGGTTATGATGACGGATCTGATGATGCTGATGCTGCTGATGCTGATGTTGGACAGTGATGATGCCGATGATGATGCTGATGATGACGATGACGATGACGACGATGGTGCTGCTGCTGCTCATGCTTATGATGGTGATGATAATGCTGATGCTGATGTTGATGCTGATGCTAACGACGATGATGATGCTGTGTATGAGGATGA